AGTGGACATCCCTGACGGACACCACTTGAAGTAGAGAATTCCGATGACAGTTCACCATTTGCTCTCACTCGACCAGGGGTGTTCGAGTAGAGAGCTTGTATACGGTTAATGTACTTCTTTGTTTCACCTTTTAATGACAGACACTGCCACAGAACCTCACGATTCACTGAGTCGAATGCCGCTTAAAGGTCAAGGAAGACAACTATTGTAGGACGCCTAAATGTGTGTCTGAGTTCCAGGACCTGACGTAGTATTAAGATGTGGTCTATACATCCAAGTCCAAAACCAGTCTGGTGTTCTCCAGTCTGTTCCTCACGAGCTCTAGTTAGACGTCTAAGGATTATCGAGTCTAACAATTTAGGAACTATGTTAGTTAGACTTATTCCTCTGTGATTGTCACAAGAAGACTTTTGTCCTTTCTTATAGATTGGGACAATCAAGGATTGAGACCAGTGAGATGGTTTTACGCCCAGTTCCCAGATTCTACCTAAGATCTCAGTCCATCTGACTGTTAAGACTGGACCACCATCCTTAAAGATCTCAGGAATCAATCTATTGGAGCCCGCTGCTCTTTCTCGCTTTAGATTTCCTATAGCTTTCTCAACTTCACAATTAGTCGGACGACGTACGTCGTTTTGCTGTTCAGGGCGACTGGAGATCGTGGGTAACCGAAGTGTGGCTGAAGACCATCCTTTTTCGAGATAGTTTCAGTTGGGTTCCTAATACCAGTTTCCTTGATTAGTCTGAATTGTTGCCTACTGCTGCGTATAGCTGTTGTTTCCATCTCTCTCGCTTTCGCTACCCACTTACTGTTCGCGATCATTGCGTAGGTTTTTTGTCTTCCTGCGCTTAAGTTGACTTCGCTTTTCGTCATATTCATAGCCAGGTGGGATGAGTTTACGAGCGTCTATCAGTTCGGTGGATGCTACTGAGATCTGTGTGTTCTTCCTAACCTTATGGTTTACCTCACTGGCAGATATCACTGGTGTTTTCACAGCCTCCGGATGGGAATCACCTAACTGTTTTTTAGTTGTTCCTGAAATAAATTCTTAGCTATGCTACCATAAAGTAAAACCCCAACAGGTTTCCTTGCGGTGTCTTTCCTACATCTGGTAAGTCGCAAACAAATACGCGTTCGCACTACAGCATCATCTAAATCCTAACATGTTCACCTGAACGAGCAACAGTCCTCTATCGAACCCCTCCATCGGTGGCTGATGGCAATGTGATCTATTCGGGTCTAGCGTTGAAACGACTTTTGGGGTCGCCAGGTCAAAAGATGTTTTTCCTTATGCCTAAAGTTAGTGTTTGCTAGAAATAGGCGGTTATCTGAGTACAGTTTCAACAGACAGTCGCCGTTGTCTGTTCTCTGAGCCGCAACACCATAAGGTCCACCCAGGTGTCTTTCCTTTTCATTTAGTCTACCTACTCGAGCATTGAAGTCACCAGCCATTATTACTATATCAGAGCGCTTAACATTTTGAAAAAGTTTAGAGAGGTTTCTGTAAAACTTATCTTTTATGTCGTCTGAACTGCAGTCAGTGGGAGCGTAGACAGATATGACGAAGAGGCAACGGCGACTGTCCCTATCTTTACGAGCCCTTATTGTCGGACAGTAGATAAGCGACTATCTACTTCGATCCAGTCTAGGAGCGCTAGTTCTGCCCTAGGACTTAATGCTATGCCTACAGCAGTGATGCCACGGGAAGCAGCAGCAGAGCTTCCAGATACATGAATAGTAAATCGAGCTACTTCTTTATTTTGACAAGGCGAAATCAAATTAATGGTTTTACTAGGATCCTGTATGCGCGTTCCCGAGACCTAGCATACATCGATGGCGCGAGATTCTAATGTCCTAGCTAAGGAAACCTGTCGCCCTATTTGACACAATGTTCGGACATCAGATGCTCCAACATGTAATTTGGAACGATGTTTTAGGAGACTAGGAATAATGTTTCGTGAACTTGCATCGCTTGTATTAGCGGTACGGTGTGATAAAGGAATGTGAGTAGAGTTGATCACGGAGATAAAGATGTTAGGGGGTGTAGGAAGGATTCGTTTGTGAGTAGTGCACGTCGATTCATGTCCAGCTCCTGAATGTCGTTCACATTTTCCATTTGTTTTAGCTGACCATCCGTATAACAACCCTAGGAGCACACCATATATTTCCCTCGACCACGAAATGACAGAAATCAACAGTAGGAAAGATGTTCCCGGAAGTGTAGATCTGAATGCTTTTATGTTTAATTATGTCAGTGAGATTAAGGCTGAAGCGAACATAGATATGCCAGTGAATAATGAAATCCTTGAGCCTAGTGAAGAATCAGACGATGACAATGTTGATATTTGTTCTGGATGTCATTTGTTGTAACTACGAATTGTCGAAAACGATTCTGGTGAATAGGCGAGGTGTTCAAGGTGCAGCACATTCAGTCATCTAGTCTGTACTGAAAAAATGGCCAACGGTGACCTACTGTGCATGTAGTTTCACGGTTATGATATGTAGTCATGGGTTTTGTAGTAATACTTTTCATTTCAGACAACAACGAGCACTCAATGAGAACGCAACATTGCCCTTTTTAGGGCCACCGCAACAAAATGATTTAATAATCTGCATTCTTTTTTCAGTCAGTCTGGTCATGCGATAGAAATAGCTGAGTAATAATGATTTTAATAAATGCATATCCTATATTGTATAGAAAATAATAAGTCTGAATTTATACATTAATGACGTTTACATTACGTCCAATTCATTCTCATGTATCAATGTATTCACTAGTGACATCTTAACATTGTTGAATTATTGGCATTATACGTATGTGCTCTGTGGCAAAAGTTAACAAATGACCAGTTATGAATGTTTTCTATTTTTCATCTCATTCATAATTCTAGTGACTTTTAAGTTGACGCTTAAGTCAGATTTAAAATTCATGTGTTGTTGTTTGTTTTTAAGTGAAATAATCTAAAAAAAAAATTGATTTACAAATAACTGAACCTGTATTTAGTTAGGCATACATTTCCTAGTATTTTCTTAATTTGCATTTAAATACTGACAATTTGTATTTCTCATTCAAAGTTGAATGATGCTCATTTAATTCCTGATTAATTTCCTCGTATGTAAATTTTAACTTTGACTGTAAGCAAAATGTTTATCATTTCGGCATCCCAATTGGCTCATGGCTTTTTGAATTTTTACACTTCAAGTTGTGTTTCTGATGAACTAGTTTTTTGTACACGTGAGTAGTAGTTAACTATTTGCTCGTCACCTCATTGTTCTGTTTCTGTTAGAATATTTCCATCGATGATATGTTTGATGAATTGTAAAATTAAATAACTCAATCATACAATCTTTAATTTCAGATATCATCTTTGTGTAGTCAAATCTCATGAATAGGCATAGCTTAGATTCAAGGTTCTCAGTATTCCGACCATAAATTAAGGTGTAATTGTTGTGTATGATGCTTAAAATTCAGACATTTGGGCGTAAAATAAAGCATATATATATATATATATATATATATATATATATATATATATATATAGGGTAAAATATGAGTTTCTGTTTAGAAAATATCTACATAATTCATATCATAGATTCATTCTGTGAACTATTTTTCTATTACCACACTATTTGCTAACCTTCGATAGATTTATATGAACAGACCAGAAGCTGTATTGTTGGCACGTTTGCGGACTCAAGGGTGGACACTTCCTAAACACGTTTATGATAGCATTCCATGCAGTTCAATGAGTCTGAATAGTAGTGGAATTAACTGCTTTATTGGGGATTTCGAAGACAGCAATGATGCAAATGAAAGTAATAAAGAAGAGGAGTATAATTATTGCGATAATCCAGAATGCATGGTTAATTCTGATGAATACCTTGTTAATGAAACTGAAGATTGTAAAGAAAATTCAGACTTCCAATCAACTCCACTCATTAAAGATGATGCTGAAACAAATATAAGTGTATCATTTTCTCTGAATGAAGTTTGTAAACATGGTAAATATAAACGACGTGGTTTGGGTTGTTCAATGAAACATTTAGCTCCTCCGAAACCTTCTCGATTATTTTTACTTTCTCCACCTTCTTCACCTCCTGTTGGATGGGAACCAAAACCAGAATGTGAACCCGTTATCAATTATGAACTTTTACAAGCCTTAGCCTCATTGGCACCAGGTGAGTTTAATATTTACTTCTGTTCATATCACCTAGTATAAGTGTAAGTAGGATGTTCATAAGTGATGTATATACAAATGAAATTGTTAGGATATTCATCAAATATCCTAAGAGAGTTGTTTTAGGAAGTCTAATTCTATTGGTCAATTCCTACTGGTCAATATTATGGTCGTCCTAGCTATCAATGTCACGTACTTCAATGTTGTTTCCTATTCGACCTAACTGTATAAATACGCATTATCTGTAACGTCTTATAACCCGAACCTGGATCCCTAGTCCGGGATCCTTATCCTCTTCTGGACTCGGACTTCGTACTCTCTGGATGCTTGTAGAATACATATTCTACTTCATATCAAGTCTTCTTTTACTCAATGGGGGTTTGGGACACTCGGATTGTAGTAGCATGTCGTGTAGCCGGATCCTCGATCCTCGCTCTCGTTTTCCGACTAGGGTAGACTCTCATTAGTTCAAGCATATCAAAATTACATATTTACGTGTATTCGTAACGGAAATACTCGGTGATTATTTCATTGTGATCATAGGGAATGTTAAATTTATCACTATTATTATCTGTCCAAATAGTTACTTTGAGGATATTTACTTCAATAATGGTAACAATTGTTGCACGTTATCGAGCACTTTCTATTCTCTGGCTAAACGGATTTATGGTCTAAAAGTAAATGTGAATATTTTAATTAATTTCCACTTAAATGTAGAATGAGAAAATGTATGAGGAAAAAAGTATGGTTTACTAATAGTTAGGATATGAAAAATTTAATGGGATAGAAAAGATCTTAAGAAAAGAAAACAATTAAGTTGTGTAAGAAGTACTTGCGTAGTGATTGTATAATTTTGGTTATATCAGTCATTATTAATGATCTATCAATATTAATTGATTTGTAGGTGAGGCATTTGAATTGCATCCATGTGATCAAGTTAAGCATCATCCAAGTATTGTGGTAACACCATGTGAAACTGGTCCAATGTATGATAAAGATATGAAAAAACTTCGAATAATACAAACTAAGTGCCCAGATCGTAAGTGTTAATGACAGTTGTTGTTATGTGTGTGTGTGTGTGTGTACAGATATTATGCATAAGTTGAATGTCATAATAACCAAATGACAAAAATATTAGTCAATGTCTTCCGATCAATTATGTTCGAATAACAATTATGTGCATACTTATTTCTGGTTTGATACTGATTCTATTCAGCTTCTCAGAGTGTGGCAACAATAACAACAACACACACACACATTATATTTATTTTACACTTTATAATCGATATGTGAAGTTGTGCACTTGTTTCTTACGGTTTCACAATCCATTTTCATATCTGTCAAATGATTGACTCTTTATTAAGTGTGCTTGTTCTATTATTTTCAACATGTGACATTATTATTATTATCGACTGTTTTACATGATAGTTTTTGACTTTTCAAGCAAGATGAATGAATTTTTCTAGGGATGTTGTTGTCGAATAGTTTATTAAATGAGATCAATTCTTCTTCTTCTTCTTCTTCTTCTTATTATTATTATTATTATTATTATTATTTACTTTAATTTAATTTAAATTTCAATGTGAATGATAATGTAACCAAAGTTTCTTGTTGTCAGATTTTCTTTTAATGTCTACTTTTTTGTCAATAGATAAGCGTTAATTTCTTATCCCCCCCTACATATCTGAATCAATCAATATCAGACCATCAGGTCTTAATGACTTCTTTTCTTCATTTGATAAGTTTGTTTGTTGTTTGTTGTGTTTTCGAACTGTTATCGTGATTTTTAAATTTTCACTTTGTTTTTTGACACTTTTTCTTATCATGACGTTGAATAAAGAATAAACAACAACAACAATGCCCGACTAGATTATAAACTGACTTTTATCGATACGCTATTAATTAGTTAAATGTACAGTTCATTGTTTCTCATTTTATTCATTATTTACGTGATTCGATTTATTCATTACTGAAAGATTTTCTTTAAAAATTTTATAGCACAATTTATATCATACACATACTTCTTTTATATTTTTTACTGCAATTTTATTCTCACATTAGAAGAATGTAAAATCAAAAAGTCATCGTAATGCAATATATATAAATATATTTATTAAAACCAATATAATGTACAATATTTAAATATAGAGCAAGACCAGAAGAATAATGAAGTGTCAGATGCATCAGGATAATTAACGAATTTATTTTTCAGTCATACAATTATGGATTTTCAAAAATTGTCTGTTTTGTATTTTAAGAATGTAATCTAAAATATTTTTGTAAGGTGCCAGATCATACAGTTTGGCATTATACATAAATTGTCACAAAATATCGGCTAGATTATCTATGAACTATTGTAAATGTAATCCTATCATTAATTCTCATAGTCAAACATCCAGAACATGGTAGTTTAAACTGTTGAAACGCCAAAAAAAAAGTTTTTCTTTTTACTTTCAATCAATGAAATGCTAGATGAATATCTTTGTACAATGTGCACTGATCATTTTTGTAAGTCTGTAAAATTTTCTTCAAGTTTACTTTCATTAACTTTATTCGCTGTCATATTAATAGATAACTTTATAAGCTTGTGTTATCTTCTTAAGCTTTGATTTATTGCACATCTCTAAAGTTCTGATTAACTAATCAATGTATAACTAGACATATTATTCATTGGGCATTGGCAGTGTCTGCCATTAAGAGGTGTACCAGAGAAGTACGTTAACCTTATACAGTCTCTCTACTCGGACACTACTTGTTGAGTCAGAGCTTATGGAGAATTGTCAACAGAATCGATTATCTCAAGTGGTGTCCGTCACAGTTGTTTACTCTCACAATTCTTGTTTAATTTTGTTTTTGACATGCTTTTAAAATTGTCACTTTCATCATACGACTTTCCATGAGTTGGACTTCTACCAGGAAATTCGTTTGTTGACTTAGATCATGTCGATGGCATAGTTCTACATGGTGAAGACAATGAAAAAATGCAGTATTCTGACTAACTTAAAAAACAGTGCAAACATGTTCGGGATGCAGCTCCCCCTCGTGAGATGCGAAATATTGCTTCACGATTGGCTTGCATCGGCACGTGAACTAGTCATAGGTATGATTGGGATAGCTGCCCATCAAATCGTGAATCAATAGAGTGAGCGTCGTTTTAACTATCTCTATTTCGCTTGCTAATATGCTTTTGCATCAGAACCTGAACTAAGGATAAAGAGTGAAGTAGTTGGCCGTGTTGACCGCTTCACTTATCTTGGGAGTCTCATCAATGCTGATGGCGTGGTGACTGACGAAATCTCAGCAGGGATATTAAAGGCTCGATCGGCTATTTTCAACTTGTGTCACTTATGGCATGAGCGAGATATCCGTCTGCTAACCAAAGGACGAGTCCACTGGGCAACAGTTCGCTCCGTTCGACTGATACCCCTTGTAATATGCGACGCACCATCACTGAATGTTATAGTTGACTGGCATAAAACCCAAGTCTAAGGTTTCCCATCAACCCTTCTAAAATCGAAATAGTGTAGGCAATGTCAAATCATTTAAACTAATGACCACATTACAAGCTGATTGGATTCTTGTGATCAATATTAAGGACTATGTAGGAAATTGATTTCTACTCACTCATCAATCATCACGTATAATTCGTTTATTGTAGTAATTCACTTCAAATATGTTTTACAGAAGTTCCACTTCTCTTGTGTTAATTTAACTTCATTCTATGAATGTTTTAGACTAGCTTTGTTGTACTCAATTTGTTCGGACAATGCAAAGTATGAAGGAATAGGCTTTTATGTACCATACCAGGACGAAACGGCCGTCTAGTGCTTCCAGGTTTCTAATGGTGGTCTAACAATCATTGATTGATCGTTTCAAATGTGTAAAAACACTAATCTCCATAACTTACTTACTTACGCCTGTTACCTCCAATGGAGCATAGGTCGCCCACCAGTTTTCGCCAACCAACTCTGTCCTGGGCTTCCCTCTCCAGTTCTATCCAATGTTTGTTCATTACTCTCATATCTTTCTCTATTTCTCGGCGTAATGTATTCCTTGGCCAGCATCTTTTCCTTTTGCCTTGAGGGTTCCATGTGAGGACTTGTCTTGTGACGCAGTTAGGTGCTTTTCTCAGTGTGTGTCCTATCAATAATAATTCTCAGGTTGAAATGTTTGAACGACTAATTCATTTCAGATCGTATCTAACAACCAAATTGTCAATGTAAATAATGTGAAAATAAACAAACACAAATAATCATTGATTTAAATGATCCATGTTACTTCTTGATATCATTGAATGAGATATGAGTTGTTTATCTAGAAGAATATATAGTGATCGATAATAAAAATTGATACATATTTAAGGGGGTGGGGGGGGGACAGAGGAGGATTTAATCAAGGAGAAGCAACAGTTGGTATGAATCAATAAGTTGTATCTTCACTGTTGATCGAATTGTTTGGACAGTGTTTCCAGCGTACTAACAGTATGAAAAATAAAACACATCCACAACTATTTTAAGTCAAGTAGTAGTTTACTGAGATTATTGTAAGTTTAATTTGACAAAATGTTTGATTACTTACAATTAACTGATCACTTCTTCTCATTAGGAGTGTAGACTTGGTAAACATTTAGAAAGATCATTATTGTCATGAAGAAAAGTTCACTATTAAATGTTATTAATAAAAGTAAAATTAACAGTCTGCTTAGAAAAAACGTTATGAAAACAGTTAAACTGTTGGTAGATTTGCATGCATTCAAGTTAATCTAATTTACGGCAAACAGTTTCTCAAAATAAATTATTCATCAATCATTTATCTTGTTATAGTAAAACGATTTGATTTATTGAAGATGCATTTTCATATAAATATGGCCGTGTTCTTGATACCGCTTACATGACATACTGCATTCGATTAAGAGTCTTTCAATTTCACGCTTATCTGCCTCCGTACGCAATCAAGTCTATTCTTCTCCACTATTACAACCCTTATCCTCATGAATTAATAATAAGTTAACAATTATCGTCGGAGTACAGCGTTTGAATAGGCTTAACATCAGTGTAGCCTATTTTCATTACGATCATTCTCTTTTACCTTGGAAAATATCAAACTGTGTATTTGAGCTGCAAGTATGATTTGTCGTATTATAATTTTGTTATTTAATTGCAGTACGATACTGCTCGCCATATTTGATTTTTATGACATGCGTTGTACACGTGAAGATCTCTATAATGATAAGAATTTCGTTGTTTGATTATAGTTTATTTCACAAATTGAAATTTTTAGGAAATTCATTGAAAGTGAAATAGCAATGAATAGTTATGTCAGCTTTCTTTCAGACTATCCAACAGTTATTAAAATCAAACTTAAACGTTTAAAGTTTTATTATGAAGAAAAAGCCATTTTCACTTATTTATACACTTACCGATCGATATTTGATAAGAATTCAAAGTAAATATTCACCAGTTCGTATAACAACTTAACGTTACACCTACTTTCAAAGGGATTCATGTGAGGATTTTTTTTATCCCTACTATGATTCAATGAATTGATATCAGTTTGGAATGACATTAAGCATACCTACCTGTTTCTCACTGGGTGACAAAAATATCACCAAAAAGAGAAATTATTAGGTCCAAGGTTCAGTTTTTTAAATACATTTTTAACTTACACTGGGACACTGATCTTATGCATTAATTCAATTGGTCTGAGGGTAGAATAAATTACCCGATCAGATTACTCCAACCATGTCCCATCATTCATGCAGCAAAGTTTTTGCTGCATCGTTCAACCAACCTCAAATACTAGTTTCTAATTTAGTTATTTCAAGCACAAGTCTCGAATCGCGTTTATTTCTTACAATAGTTCTATTCAATCTCATACAAAAATTAAACTAATATGAGTTGTATGTTAAGAGAGAAACATCGAATAAAATATTATATTCATGATTAAACTTTACTTTCTTCACTGACTATCATTTATAAATACTCTGAATTAAATTTAAAAATAGTTTTCATGAGATATATTGCAATCATTTGAAATGTGTTAACATTTTA